GGGAAATTCTAAAACGAAATAAAGAATTTTTAGAAAAAATTCTACGCCGAAACACCACCTACAACAGATGATACAATCACTACCGTAATATTACTTACCTGTGTGTGTCGCCGTGCGTGCGTGCATGCGCGAGTGAGTGCGTGCACGAGCGCGTGTCCGTGATAATGTATACGCAATGCATCAATTCTAGCACAAAGGACGTTTACGAACGTGTGTAATCCATTCGGGAAGCTAGAAAGTAACCATTTGTACGTGTGTGCTGTAGGAAATGACTTTGATGGCCCGGGTGGCATTCTCGCTCATGCCTTCCTACCGCTCGTAAGCGGTCCATACATCGGTGACCTGCACCTGGACGAGGATGAAGATTGGAGCCCAGACAGCCTAGCAGGAAAACTAATGTACTACATCACGCTGCACGAAATGGGGCATGCCCTAGGCTTGCAACACTCTATGGTAATACCTTAATGTTAGACAACAACAGCAATAATAACAGCAATAATAACAGTAATCATCATCATCATCATCATCATCATCATCATCATCATCATCATCATCATCATCATCATCATCATCATCATCATCATCATCATAATATGGTGGTGCTCGTGTTAGTAGTAGTAGTAGTAGTAGTAGTAGTAGTAGTAGTAGTAGTAGCAGTAGTAGTAGTAGTAGTAGTAGTAGTAGTAGTAGTAGTAGTAGTAGTAGTAGTAGTAGTAGTAGTAGTAGTAGTAGTAGTAGTAGTAGTAGTAGTAGTAGTAGTAGTAGTAGTAGTAGTAGTAGTAGTAGTAGTAGTAGTAGTAGTAGTAAGTAGTAGCTAGCAGCAGTAGTAGTAGTAGTAGTAGTAGTAGCAGTAGCAGTAGCAGTAGCAGTAGCAGTAGCAGTAGCAGTAGCAGTAGCAGTAGCAGTAGCAGTAGCAGTAGCAGTAGCAGTAGCAGTAGCAGTAGCAGTAGCAGTAGCAGTAGCAGTAGCAGTAGCAGTAGCAGTAGCAGTAGCAGTAGTAGTGGCAGTAGCAGTAGTAGTAGTAGTAGTATTTTTCCGCACAACAAAAAACGAACGCGTGGTATGTGAAAAATCAAGTAACTAATGCTTAACCAATTTCATTTCATTGTCGGTCAGGAATTCCTGGATCACCTGGCTTCAACGGCTCAGAAGGAGAGCAAGGACTACCAGGTACCACTACTCTTTTATATGACATAACTCATGTGCCACAGTAGTCTGTGAATGAGCCCGCGGCAGTGTGTGCGTATGGCGTGAGGTATTTATTACGGTGAACTCGATCCTTCTTGATATTTAGACGTATCAATGTGCGTTTCATGATTTCACAATGCATTTCAAGTTATAGAAAAAAACAATAGCGATGACTAATAGTTTTATAATTATATAATGTATAAATATGTTTCATCAACTATATCATTCTAATTGTAACCGCACGCCTTCAGGTATGCCAGGAATTACGGGACCTAAAGGTGACATGGGGCAGAGCGGTGTCAAGGGTGACTCAGGACCAAAAGGTACAATATCTTCTGTAGCATATTCAGGACCAACCCGAATATGATATATTCTTCTTCTTATAGCTTTCGTATATTATACGAAGCAAACATAACCCTCTGCTAGCTATAGCGAGAATGTGACGTATCTCGTGTTTCCCAGGCTGTAGCTCACTGTGCACAGACGGGTGTTCTACGCACGGACCATCTTCACAGTCTACAATGTAATACGTTACGACCGCACACAGACTTGATCTATCCGCGCTGCATATTTTATAACGGATGCGGCTACGCATGAAGCTGCAATGCCCTGCGGACGCCCGCCCGCCCGCTGACTGCTACGTACAATACTACAGTAATCGAGCTCGATTTCATGCACGTAGAGCTAATAGCTTTAGCCGTTGTGCGAAGAGCGGTGAGACGCAATGCAATCGTGCGCGCGAGAAAACGTGGCCGATTCCTAAATATTTCATGCGGACATGCGTTTTACGGCGCGATGTGCACCGCGCGGCTGACGCGCGCTGCTCCCGCGATGCGGTGGTCATCAGCCACTGAGTAACAGCTTCTATTATAGGCTGTTGCGCCTATTGTCCAGCTACCGATGAGCGCCTGGTTTCATTACAACTACTAGTTCGCGCAACGTGCAATATGTATATATATA